GAACTTCTTTCGCACCGTGCGTAGCCAACCGTGTTAACCGGAGGTGCAGTGTTGAGTCTATAGGCAGTATTTTGAACTTCTTTCGCACCGTGCGTAGCTAACCGTGCGAATTGCAAAACAAACAAAAGCAATCTTTCAGAACTGAATTTGTCAATCTCGATGACCATTTAAAAGGTGCACAGCTCCGGTGGCTCCCTAACATCGCAAGAGCGTTCCAGACGGCCGCAGAAGCGCATCCGTGAGCGCGACTTCGTCCAACGGGACGCCGGCAAAAGCCACCGCCGCCGCTTGCGAGGATGTGACCGCAGTTTGCGCCGAGGCCCCTACGTTCCCTGGCGAGACAAAGCGAGCGATCGATCGCGGTTCAATTTTGCGGCAAGCACTTTGTGCAAATCGAGAGCGGCGACCTCGGCAACGTCTTCGTTCGGCAGCCGGGGAGGCCAGCGCAGCTCGGCGAGCACTATCCGCGGTAAACCCCGTCACGACCGCGTGCCAAGGAATCGTTTTTTTGTTTGTTTGTTTTGACTTACGGCTTTCGTGACCGCGGGAATTAATATCCCTTTGGTTCTTTCGGTAAAGTCACGTGACTTACAACTTTCGTGACCAAAGTTGTAAGTCAAAGCAAACAAAAAAAACGAGAAACTTTTGTTGTTGTTGTTTTTTTGCGACACGCCGCAGCTCCGGTCGATGGCTTTTCTCTCTTCCCTTCTTCTCTTGGCGGGCGTCTCGCGGAGAGTGGCGAGTCGCAGCGATCGCGTCGGCTGCTGTTGCTGGTGCGATGACTTTACACACGACGAAGAGGCGTTTCGTTGGGCTATCATTTTGTGATGGGCAGGGTGGCTTCTGAAAAAGAATGGCTTAGTGGGCCTTAACCTGGTAAAATACAAAGTTGAGTCTGAGTTTATTTATTTTTAGTGATATGATTAACCTTGCGCGACACTTTTGCATTCCTATCGTTTTGTGTTTCGCTTGTTGTAACTTTATGACCTCCCACCCCTTACTGGACATCCTTTTTTTTTTTAAAAGAGCTTCATAGCTCATCGGATTTCTCCGGGAACTTATGAAAATTCAGATTTTTATTCTGTTGACGATGATATTGATTGGACCGGACCACCCAGAGGAATCGCGCGTCTCGTTCACGGCGAGGTGGTTGGTGGCCTTGACTCAACGAGAAGCGAACGGTCACGCGCACAACGAACCACCCGGCTGACCACCGCCGCCACCACCGGTCAATGCCCCCCGCGTCTCAAACAGTCCTCCCGGATTCTTGAAGACTGTCCCCGTCACGTGGACGTCGTTCGGCCCAGGGAGGGTTAAAGTCCCCGGGGCCCGTAGCTACAATCGTCTCGAACGTGCAACACGCCGCCACACGGTAGCCGCTCATCACCCTCGCGGAGAGAGGGGACGACTCGGAGAGAGAGCACGACTCAGAGAGGACGACTCAGAGAGAGGACTGAGGGAGAGGATGACTCAGAGATAGAGAACGACTTCGAGAAAACGACTCAGGTATAGAGGCCGACTCAGAGAGAGGACGACTCAGAGAGAGAAAACGACTCAGAGAGAGGATGACTCAGAGGATGACTCAGAGAGAGGATGACTCAGAGAGAGGATGACTCATAGAGGACGACTCCGAGGACGAGAGGCACCAGGAGGCAACACAGACGAGCGAGGAGGCAGCAGTACCAACGCGGTGGTGACGAGGCGCTACACAACAATTGCCCGAGTTCTGCAGCCCTCTCTCTATATACAAAAGGCGTTATCGGCCCAGTTGTGGGCGTTTATAGACGTGGGAGGAAACCCCACGAGTGCCAGGGAGGCAGAACCCATATAGGGCTGAACGATTAATCGATTTCAAATCGAAATTTGAAACAATTCGATTAGCAAATCGCAAAGGCTGCGATTTTTTTTACTTAATTGGAATTGTTTTATTTTTTATTACAACTTTATTTATTTAACTTAACAATTGCTCTGTGTTTGAATGTTCTATTTCAATTAATTTTTTAAATAAAAGCATGCTGGAAGCACTTCATGTATTTTAAGTTCTCATCCTTGAATTAGAATATATGGAGCAGTTCATATGTTGATGGTATCACGTGGTAATGCTCCATCACGTGTTTTAAATCTATTACACAGTGAATATTGAACTGAAACTTCACTTAAAACATTTTAATCGCAAATCAAATCGCAATGTCAGAAAAATAGCAATTAAAATATTTTCCCCAAATCGTTCAACCCTAAACCCATCCCCTCTCGGAGCGGTACAGTCCACACACGCCGCCTGCTGGCAGAGCCAGGGAGGACGACGACGACGACGACGACTCCACCCACCCACGGCGAAGGGAGTTCCAAGCAACATCTGCGAGTGATCTACCAACCCCCGCTGCTGCCGCTGCCTCCTCCACAGCGCTGGCTCACTACAGGCAGCGGCGGCGGCGGTGGCGGCGGCGGCAGCGTAGCCACCAACACAGCCAGGCTCAAGCCTCTCTCAGGCACGGGTCACTCTCAGCCGCTTCCAAAGACTCACAAAGCGAGCGGCTCGGCCGTGGCTCTGCTCACGGGAAGTCCTCAGGGACGGGACCAAGCGCAGAGAGACACGGGGACCCACAGAGTACTCAGGGTCTTGAGACTCAGGGACGGGACCACGCAGAGAGACACGGGGACCCACAGAGTACTCAGGGTCTTGAGACTCAGGGACGGGACCACGCAGAGAGACACGGGGACCCACAGAGACTCAGGGTCTTGAGACTCAGGGACGGGACCACGCAGAGAGACACGGGGACCCACAGAGACTCAGGGTCTTGAGACTCAGGGACGGGACCAAGCGCAGAGAGACACGGGGACCCACAGACACTCAGGGTCTTGAGACTCAGGGACGGGACCACGCAGAGAGGCACGGGGATCCACAGAGACTCAGGGACTTGAGACTCAGGGATGAGACCACGCAGAGAGGCACGGGGACCCACAGAGACTCAGGGATGGGACCACGCAGAGACACAGGGACCCACAGAGACTCAGGGTGACTGCCTCCAACTGCCCAGTAGCGTCCTTCACGAGCCTCCTCCACAGAGGCCGATCTTGAAACCGCTGATGCCAGTCATCAGCAAGTCCACTCAGCTCCACGTCCTCCTGTACCACATCACTCCATCTCTTCTCTAGCCCGTGCCGCTCCCGTTTAGCCCCCCTCGGTCCGCCCGAACACACACACCAACACACACACACACCAACACACAACCCACCACACACCAACACACACACCCCACACACCACACAACAAAGCAAAGATCCCCCATATAGCCTTAACAGACTGGAGGGGCAAGTGCTGTTAGCGAGCACCTATGAAGGCCGGAACGGTACACGAGGGGGTGGGTAGCCAGCACCACGCCCGACCGCCTTTGTCTCCCTAGTGGCAATGTTTACACACCGCACCAGGTACTCATTTGAGGCTGAGTCGACCTAGGGGAGGCCCGGGACCGGTTCAGATAATCGTCACTGGTGTTGGCCGTGAGCGGGAATCGAACCCGGGTCGCCAGGTTCATAGCGCAGTGTAACGCTAACCGCTACACTATCGCTCCCCAACACACACACACATGACACACACACACACCAACACACACACAGAGACACACACACACCAACACACACACAGAGACACACACACCAACACACACACACACACACCAACACACACATACACCCACACACCAACACACACACACACACCAACACACACACCAACACACACACACACCAACACACACCAACACACACACACACCAACACACACACCAACACAGACACCAACACACACACACAGACACCAACGCACCAACATAGACACCAACACACCAACACACACCAACACACACACCAATACACCCACACACCCACACACCAACACACACACACCCACACACCCACACAACAACACACCAACCCACAAACACACACACCCACAAACACACACACCCACAAACACACACACCAACACACACACACAACAACACACACACCCACAAACACACACACCAACACACACACACACCAACACACACCAACACACACACACACCAACACACACACACCAACACACACACACACCAACACACACACACACCAACACACACACACCAACACACACACACACCAACACACACACACACAAACACACACACACCAACACACACCAACACACACAACACACCAACACACACACACCAACACACACACACACCAACACACACACAGGGCCTGCCAGGTGTGGACTCCCTCCCTCTGCACGGCAGTCCCCGGTGGCGCCATCAAGGCACCGAGTCAGCCTCTCAGCTCCGACTCGCCCCACCACAACAGGCGCGCTTGCTTTGGGCTCTGCTCGTGGTGACGGTGGTGGTGGTGATGGTGGTGGTGATGGTGGCGATGGTGGTGGCTATGGGGGTGATTATGGCAGTGGTGATTATGGCGGTGGTGATGGGGTCTCTGTGTAGGGGTCAAGGTCTCCGTGTAGGGGTCAGGGTCTCTGTACAGGGGTCAGGGTCTCCGTGTAGGGGTCAGGGTCTCCGTGTAGGGGTCAGGGTCTCCGTGTAGGGGTCAGGGTCTCCGTACAGGGGTCAGGGTCTCCGTACAGGGGTCAGGGTCTCCGTACAGGGGTCAGGGTCTCCGTGCAAGGGTCAGGGTCTCCGTGTAGGGGTCAGGGTCTCCGTGTAGGGGTCAGGGTCTCTGTACAGGGGTCAGGGTCTCCATGTAAGGGTCAGGGTCTCCGTGTAGGGGTCACGGTCTCCGTGTAAGGGTCAGGGTCTCTGTACAGGGGTCAGGGTCTCCGTGTAGGGGTCAGGGTCTCCGTGTAGGGGTCAGGGTCTCTGTACAGGGGTCAGGGTCTCCGTCGAGGGGTCAGGGTCTCCGTGTAGGGGTCAGGGTCTCCGTGTAGGGGTCAGGGTCTCAGTACAGGGGTCCATGTTACAGTAGCCCCCCCTCCCCCCCCAATGTAGGGGGGTGGCCCCCCACTCTCAGAAGCGCTTGTCAGGTGGTGGGGGGCCGACGAGAAGCTGTATGGAGCTGAAATCCCAGGCGGCCGTCCAGTGGAACGCGATGTTCGACAACACCACGGCATACTCGCAGAGCGCAAACAGCGTGTACACTGCACACACACACGCACACGCACGCACCGAGACAAAGACCCCCCGAGTAGCCTCAACAGACTTCTTGGGGAAAGTGCTGTTAGCGCGCAGCACCTACGAAGGCCGGCACTGCACACGAGGGGGTTGGGTGGCCAGCGCCACGCCCGGCCGCCTTTGTCTCCCTTGGCGGCGATGTTTTACTGCACACCGTAGCAGGTAACTCATTTGAGGCCGAGTCGACCTAGGGGAGGACCGGGACCGGTTCAGATCATCGTCACCTGCTGTTTGGGGCCACGAGCGGGAATTGAACTCGGGTCGCCGGGTTCGTAGCGCAGCGCGCTAACTAAGCCCTACACCACTGAAAACACTCACAGATACAACAACAGCCGCCATTCGCCACTAATTGGTGGTGACGACTCCATGGCGCTTGTGCCAGGCTGGGTGCACTTTGAGGCCATCCCGTGAATTGTCGAAGGCTCGCTACTGGTAAGGAGGTCACGGGACAGACCCAGCAGGTGCCATGGGTTGAATTGACTGAGATGACCGGTAAATGCACCACCACCTGTGCCCCCTACTGTGCCAACTTGCTGTGCTTTAGCCGCCCGGTGCTCCGCTCGTTGTTGTGAGCGTCGCTCCTCCGCCCTCCGTTGTTGTTAGAGGGCGACTGCCTCCAACTGCCCAGTAGCGTCCTTCACGAGCCTCCTCCACAGAGGCCGATCTTGACACCGCTGGTACCAGTCATCGGCAAGTCCACCCAACTCGAGATCCTCCTGTACCGCATCACTCCATCTCATCTCTAGCCCGTGCCGTGCCCGTTTAACCCCCTCTATGCGGCCAAACAGAAGCTGCTTGGGGCATGCGGTGGTTGGGCATGTGGCCGACATGACAAAGACAAAGATCCCCCGTATAGCCTTAACAGACTGTAGGGGCAAGTGCTGTTAGCGAGCACCTATGAAGGCCGGAACGGTACACGAGGGGGTGGGTGGCCAGCACCACGCCCGACCGCCTTTGTCTCCCTAGTAGCAATGTTTACACACCGCACCAGGTACTCATTTGAGGCTGAGTCGACCTAGGGGAGGCCCGGGACCGGTTCAGATAATCGTCACTGGTGTTGGCCGTAAGTGGGAATCGAACCCGGGTCGCCAGGTTCATCATAGCGCAGCGCGCTAACCGCTACACTACCGCTCCCCACG